ACCATCAATGCTCACCAGTGGTCTGAGACAGTCCAGCCAATCATGGAGGCACTTAGAGGTAGGGTTTCGTTGTGATGAAAAATTCATTAGACTAGACCTGCTCCTTAAGGGCTGCAGTTTTGGCGGAAGTCAATAGTGTCTTTGAAAGGTAGATGACGGGCACATGGGGCAGTTTTTGGAGTTTGTGTTTTAGATCTCCTCTAATTGCACTTCTTCACTTCATGTTGACTGAGATTATGTTGGCAGCTAACAGCTTCATTGTTTCTTAATTCTAGATTAAAATTACTCTTGTCAGGAAAAGGGTTTTTTTGCTATTAAAATGAAATCTTGTAATACTAGTCGGTAAAGATTTTAAAAAATCATATATTAGAGAATAGAGACTGCTTTGAACTTTGTCGGCCTCAGCCTTTGATAGGTGTTGTCTCCAGTTACTGGATTTTATAACTAGTTACTTTAGTATGTAGAAGCTAAAACGTGTTTTGTTGTTTTAATTTCTTTACCATCAGAGGTGCCACACTGGGTCAAATCTGTTTTTAGTTCTTTTGAAAGATTACACCCTGGTGCAACATAACACTAACCCCACAGTAACATCTCGTCCCAGGCCTCTGTGTCCTCCCGTCCCTCATGTTGGCTTCCTGTCTGCCTGTTTTAGTCTTTTATAAATTCATACAGTGATCTCTCTTTATGTTGTTATTATCTTGCTTCTTACTGTTACCTTATTTCAATAGCCAATACCTGATTCCAGTGTACACCTTCTAGCTCTAGAGGATCAGTGAGTGGGAATTTTTTAATAACCACTCACCCTTCTGGTAAGGGACATCAGCTTTACAGGGTGGCAGATGGTAAAGATTGTTACAACTGTATCAGCATAAAATGGACAATGTATGTGACAAACTAGGGTGCAGCTACTTTAAATGTGAATGAAAGGAGCAGAATTACAGGACAGGCAGGAGGGTGGAAAGGAAGCAGTGTGTAAGAAAGTAACACAGGTACAGCAGGGGCAGTTTTAGACATTAGTACAGTAAGCAGCCTGAACCTCACCATACAAGCCGTGAGGAATTTATGTGGTAGTGAACGCTCCTGGTAGGTGAGGACACAGGCCTGGGCCTTTTCCTGGGGTTTCCGCAGGTTCCTTCATGCAGGGCTCCTGCTCACTCAGCTGTGTCCCCTGCATGCTTCCAAAGCTGTATTTCTTCTCAGGGCCACTTGCTTTGGGTCCTCCATTAGACTAGGGCTTCCTTGAAAGCAGTTCCATAGACCCAGGAAGGGCTGTATAGTGTGGTGTGTGAGTTGGGACTCTGGGTCTTCCATTAGACTGGGGCTTCCTTGAAAGCAGTTCCATAGACCCAGGAAGGGCTGTATAGTGTGGTGTGTGAGTTGGGACTC